CCCCAAAACCCCAAAACCCCAAAACCCCGGAGCAAACTTTCTGAGTTGAATTTTATCTTATAATTCAAAAGCAATTTGCTAAAAATAATGATGGAATCAAAACTCAAGTGAGGAGCTCAAGATTGAAACCAGCAAGCTTCGTATATGTATAGAGGAACCGCTATTTATATTTGCGAAGAGCACTTCCAACCTAGTCAGAAGGAGCATTTGGTTAAAATTGGTAATGTGGATGGAGCCCAAGAAACACTTGATGTAGTGAAGAAATGTATTATAAATTTTAAACTAGAGTTGGAACAAGAGGAATATCAGAATATTCAAGAAGAATCAAAAGTGTTGGTGAATAATATTCAAAGCAAGATACCTGAGATATCCAAAGAGCTTGATTCACCCATAGAAAGTAATCCGACAGAAAAGTATGAATCAATTGAATACCAAGTCAGAGCCATTGTAACAGAAGTCAAGAGTAGCCAACCATTTAGAAGTTTCTGCTTCAAAAACTACATGAATCTGATGTGAGATTATCTTGAAATCGACAGAAGCAAAATTGCAAGATTTATCAGCATCGATAGTTTTGAAGGAGCTCAAGACTCAGAAATCAGCAGGATCAAAACTGAGCTTGAGGAGACCAAATCAAAGTATACACAGTTTAGGCAGAGAGCCATATCCAAAATGGAATGCTCAAATAAAGATGATCTTAAAAAGATTTACGAGATTGTCACAAATAAACAGATTTTGGAAAAATGGAACGATCAAGTTGGGTTAGATTGAAAATCTAAACAAGATGTTGAATTCATGGAAGCAATCAAATGTCAGATTTTACCAAACCTGAATGATTTCAGAATTGATAAAATAGATTTGAACTTGCTTTTCGCCAAAGAGTTTATATTATCTTCTTTTCCTCAGAAAGTGCTGAGATTTCATCTTAATTGGGAAGGAGAAATAATAGATATTGAATCGATGAATGAGATCATTATGTACATTAATCTGAGGATTGCTGAAGAGCTACATCTTTATAATTTCCAAATAGATCAGTTTCAGTTGAAAATATTACTTCAAGCTGTTTGCAGAAATAAAATTTCTTTAGGTTTAAGTGATTGAGCCTTAAAATTTGACTCAGTTCCAAATCTGCAGTATTGATTTGAAAGATCCAAGATAAATTTTATTTATCTCAATTACTGAGGATCTCCTGAACGTTGTGATTGGGGAAATCATCCAGAAAGGTTCTCCAACCTTATTGAAGCACTTGGCCAGAGTGAAGAGATGAAGCAGCAGTTAAAAACTATATATTTATCTGAGTGAAAGATGCCCAAGGAGTCAGTGAGAGAGACATTAGACAAGTTTTGATTCGATTCTGTAGAAATTGGTAATTATTCTTTTTAACATATAAATTAATTAATTGGCTAAATTTTAAAAAGCAATTTAAAAAAATTAGAAATGTGATTTGAAGTTCGAATAAAAATTTATATCAGATCAGAATTAAGAATAAGTTAGAGAATGAGAAAGAGAGATAGCTAGTTGTAAAAAAAAGTACTGTAAAAGAAATAAAGAATTAACATAAAAATAGGTTTCAATAAAGTTATTGCTTTGTTAAAATGATTGATATAGAACCTTTTAACACAAATAAGTAAACATAAGCGACCAAAACTTTATATAAGTCCTATTCCTTCTGCACTTCCCCCAACAACCATTCTGGAATAGATCGTAGTCTAGAACCCTTTTAATCCAAAGGTGCCACCCTTAATTTCTTCCTTCAAGCTTCAAAGATAATTCAACCTGAGTAAATGGTTTCAAGCACAACAGGGTTCCAGCCTAGATAGTTACAACCTTGAAATAGAGCCAACCAGGATGATGAAGGAATAGGCCGCAGGAGAGTGCTACTTTGGTGCAAAGGAAAGCATGAGTGGCGTTGGTTGAGGTAATAGGAGTTTAGTACAAATAGTGGGAATTTAGATTTTTGAGTTCATGAGTTTTGAAAGAACTTGATATTATGTTGTAGAATATCTTGTGCGAATCCTAGAGTAATTTATAATTACCAAAATTAAGAGAATCCATAACCTCTTCCTCCTCCCCAAAACCCCCTTCCTCCCAAATGGCCCAACCCTCATTCCAACCCTTACACCCAAGCTGTTTAAGCAGCCAGAACCCTACTTGGCTTCCTCTCACGACTAGAAGAAGTCTAGCTTATTTTTCAGATTGAGGTATCTTCATCTTGGCTGACAAAACCTTGGTCTGTTCAGTAAGATATTACAATGCACATTTCAAGCAGAGAAAGTTGTGCCGGGGTTTTGGGGTTTTGGGGTTTTGGGG